AGATACAATAGAAGAAAAGTTTTCTGAAATCACAGAAGAGCTGAATCTTCAGATTAATGTAATTAATATACTATGATTCAAGACTTTTCATGCTGAAATTACTGAACTTCGACGATAGAAAAAGAACCCTTCTAACACTCAGGCCAATGAAGAAAATCAAACGAGGGCATTAACAGGCTGGCCTCATACTGTTTGGTAGTACCATTTAAAGCCAGGGGACAGGTGAGCAATGATTGAAGCATTTTGAGAGGAAAATCATGTAGCCCAGACAAATTGTTGTTCTACATGTAAAGATAACAGCAAAATTCTCAAATATGTAAATACTCAAGAGACACTATCTATAATTTCTTCCTGAAAAATCTATTTATAAATATAACCTACCCAATCAAAACATAAGTAAAAATAATCAACTAAGAGATAGAGAAGCTTGGGAATATATGGATTCCAGGTAAATATTACATGAATTTAATCATTTAATTATGTCTAAATAATGCTGCTTATTACACCTATGCAATTTAAAGTATTAAGTAGATCTTTAAAATCTTGAAATAAAAGCTAAATAATATTTTTTAAATAACATAACGGACTCAGCATTCCATAGTTATTAATAAAAATTAGCTAGAGAGAAAGAGAAACTAAAAGAGATGTAAAGTAAGCAAATGTCCTCATCTTCAACCAGAAGTTAGTTAGTAGCAATTTTAATTTTTGAAATTGATAATTGAGAATCATAGACTTATGTATATTATTTAAAATTGTAAAATTCACTAGAATGAAAAACATTTATCTTTAATAATATAATGCTGGCAGGGCTGATAGGAGGGAGGGGAGGGCTAGGGCATGGTGGAAACGAAGATTATTTATGGTAGAAGATATTTTATCCAGAATGTCCAAGACTTAACCTGGTCTAGATTAATTATATTTTACATATTTAAACTCCAAAAGAGCTAAGTAAGCAAAGAAGAAATTTTAGTATATAAATATGGTATGTAATATAGAAAATAAGGCACTTGAAGCAATAAATGATCTTTAAAAATATGTATGTTTTGAATATCTTATTTTCTTATAAATAATGTAAATATATAATGTCAAACAATTGAACATTGAATTGTCGGTCCTAATTTTGCATCTGTTTAAAATATCTATGCTTACCTGAAAGCAGAAAAGCTATTAATAGCACTATGTAAAATCTTAGGTACTTAGTAATATAAACACAATGAATACATTTTACTTAATTTTTGTGTGAAATACATACCCATTTCCTTAGAAATGCAGAGAAAGAGGAAGGGACATCATGAAAGAATAGAAATATATGAAAATTATATTCATCAAGAAATCCTGGTTGATCTTCATATAGTGGCAAAATTACTAGTTATCAGGATAAGCTGTAACAATTTTGCAAGCCAGAAGAGAGAATGAAGTAATAACTGCTCTTGGAAAGAGGTATCTGCTTGTCCTGGCTAATCTTTTCCTTCTCAGACTTCTTTCAGTGTGTACATAGAGAGCCTTTCCTTCTTAGTAACAAATCACTATTTCTTTTCATGAAATTTATGAAATATTTTACAACATGCAACAACATCTAGAAACAATTTCTCATCCATTCTAACCTTATATCTTGCACATGTTATTGGATTGGGCTACCGTGACAGTGCAGACTTACAGAACAGTTCTGAAGTTTGGATGTTTCCAATGTTTAGGCTTCTAGATAAGCAATCTCTACTGTTATGAAAGACAGTAACAAAGAAGTCAGAAAGAAAGCATTAAACTCATAAAACATATCATATGAAGACTGCCCTAAGGTCAAACATATACACTACAACAATAAATGTAAATGGTATGAACACCTAAAAAATATCTAAGCAAGAAAGCAATTTTATGTAAATACTAAACAATACTTATGATCTTGTGCGAACAAATTTGAAGACCTGGGTAATATGAACCACTCTCTAAAAATATATAAATCTACAAAGCTTCAGATTTTGTTTTTCTACAAAGTGATATAAAGCCTATATTGCGGCTATAAAGTGATTAAGGAAGTACTACTCCAGGGTCAGGACCAGATGGCTTTCCATGTATTGATGGAATTGTTGTCATTTAATTGTATTAGAGTTTAAGGAAAGATTTCTTTTCACAAAGCTGGCACAACAATAATACCAGAGGATCACAAAAATGACAAAGAAAAACTACAGACGAATCTCATTTATGAATAAGATGCAAAATAACAAATAAAATATTAACATAGTATACCATATGAATAGTAGATTAAAGTAACAACATATTATTATCAAGGAGGGGGTAATTCCAGACTTCTGAAGATAGTTCAGTAATAATTTATTAAGAAACCTTATCTTATAAATAGGCCAGAGAATTAGAACCACATGATTATGTCAATATTTGCCTTACATACCCCCAAAAAAGAAAAAAACAACTTGACTTTTTAAAAGATCTTGATATTGAATATTGTAGTAATAGAACATAACTTTGTTAGCCATATATTTAAAAAAGATATACATATTTTGTGCATCACAAACTAACAGCCAGCATAATACTTACTGGTGAAAACCTAGAAGTAATCTCATTACAGCCAGGAACAAGGCAAGGGTGCTTGTCATCCTCACAATTATTTCATGGTAGTTCTTGAAGTGCTCACCAAAGTAATTAGATGAGAGAATGAGATAAGAAGCATAAATATTGGGTAGGAAGAGGAAGAAGTATCACTATTGGCAGATTATAAAGATTATAGTCTTGAAAAACCCAAGTGAAGCAACTGAAAAACTATTAGACTATCTAGATAAAATACAAATATACAAAAGTAATAACTTTCTTACTTGCCTGCAATAACTAGTTAGAAAGTATGACAGATAAAGTAATTTTTCATTTCCAAAATAAAAAATAACAAGAAATGTCTATGCTTTATAGTAAGGAAATTATAAAACTTTACAGGACATTGTAAACATGGAAAGAAAAACTATGTTAAAATGTTAATACAGACTAAGCTATAGATACAATACAAAAACATCAAATTCCTAGCAGGTCGGTTTTTTTTGGGAAAACTTGATAAAAGTGACTTTAAAATTATTAGTAGGATTAGCATGTGAGAATAACAAAAACAGAGCTGAATTAGAAAACTAAGTTTATTGTATATTAATTTTATTTATAATACATTAATTGGTAATATATTAATCATTTTTCTTAATTTTTAATTAGGGATAAAAAGAGTGTTGTACTGGTCCAGCAATAGATAAATCAAAGAAACAGAACAGAAAACCCGGAAATAGACCCAAATTTACAAGGACACTCAATACATGAGGAAGATGATTTTCCCCTGATTGGCAAAAGATGAATCATTTAATAAATTATATCTGGCTCAGGCCAAATGCCTAGGTGTCATTCTGATGCTGTCTTTCTCTCACTACTGTCCTCTGCCCATCTGTGAGTCCTACTGGCTTTACCTTCAAATGCACCTGAATCTGTCCCTTCTCACTACATTCACACCCATCAGCACCCTCACCTCTTCTCTGCATTTCTATAGCTCCTAACTATCTTCTGGCTTCTCTCTTGCATTCCAACAACATTCTCCACACTGCAGTCAGAATGGCCTTTCAAAAATGTAGACCACATGATGTCACTCCCTTCCTCAAGACCTCTCCATAGCCATCAATCACACTTAAGAAAATCCCCAGTTCCTTGCAAGTGGCAGAACGCCCCCCTGCATGTCTGGCCCCTGCTGAGCTCTCCAGCCTCAGTACCGCCCCCTCACTCACTGCCAGACGCTCAAGCCTTCTAGACCACATTACATTTTTCCAACGTCAAATTCCTGTACTGGCTTTTCCTTCTGCAAGAGTGGCTCTTCCAAGAGATCTTTTCAGATGACTCACCCTTCACATCCTGCAAGTTTTCCTGTACAAAGGTCCATTCCACAAGGAGACCAGCCTTTACCCTCCTATCTACCATACCACCTTCCCATAACCCTCTGTTTTATATTCATTGCCCTTATCGATCCCTGAAATTGTTACTTAAGATAACCTTGTTTATCATCTGTCTGTCCCACTAGATTATAACCTTCATGTGGGCAGAGACTTCACCTGTTTTTTTCACCACTGTAATTTCAGTGCATAGCATGGTACCTGGAACATTATTACCAATTATTATTCGTAATAATAAGTAATATTAAGTACCTTAATAAGTATTGCATCAATGAATTGCAGTGGAAATTGAGGAAAGGGAATGGAATTGAGTTATTTAGAAGGTAGAATTAATAGGACTCTGAAATTTAATCAATGGAGGAATGCAATGGAGGAAGCATGAAGGACTGAGGATAATTCCATTTCTGAACCAGGGAATTGAAGAGATATTGCACCATTCCTATGTTGAGAAATTGAGAGTGAGAAGCTAGATTCATGAAGAATATGTTGAGTTCATTTTGGGGTTTGAAGTGGTTATGAGATATTCATATGGGGATCTCCAGAAGGCAATTGGTAATACTGGTTCACAGTTTAGGAAATTAGAAATAGTTTCTGGTTCATCATTTTTCAAAAACATCTATTGAACTTTTTAGGGAAGAAAGGGAAAGATTTGCAAAACAAAAAACTGGGTAAAGATATTGCCAAGAATGCAATTCTCAAGTCACGTTCACTATTTTGCCATAGTGGATAAATTTCCCCACATGTCAAATTTTCTTCTGCCATGGATAACTGAAATGACTTACCAATTGTAAGTAAGATTTATTTTCTTAACTATGAAAAGACCATGAAAAAGTATCTCAATAGGGAGATGAGCCTATGACAAAGTTAGAACTCTAAATTTAATGATAAAGGATATATTAGGTTGGTGCAAACGTAATTGCAGTTTCGGACTGTGAATTTTAAATCATTATAACTAGGCTCAAACACATCTTTATTAATCAAAATAGGAACCATTACAATCAATGTATTTTTGCCAATGAGAAATAAGTGTTTATTCCTCCTGTAGCATAAAAATCCATGCTTTGGAATATGCTTTGGAAAGCATTTTCTGCATCCTGCTGGTTGTGGAAGCATTTTCCCTGCAAGAACTTGTCGAGATGCTTGAAGAAGTGGTAGCCGGTTGGTGAGAGGTCAGGTGAATAGGGTGGATGAGGCAAAACTTCGTAGCCCAATTCATTCAACTTTTGAAGCTTTGGTTGTGCGCGGTGTGGTCAGGCGTTGTCGTGGAGAAGAATTGGGCCCTTTCTGTTGACCAGTGCCGTCTGCAGGCGCTGCAGTTTTTGGTGCATATTGTCGATTTGCTGAGCATACTTTTCAGATGTAATGGTTTCGCTGGGATTCAGAAAGCTCTGGTGGATCAGACTGGCAGTAGACCACAAAACAGTGACCATGACCTTTTTTTGGTGCAAGTTTGGCTTTGGAAAGTGCTTTGGAGCTTCTTCTAGGCCCAACCACTGAGTGGGTTGTCGCCAGTTGTCATATAAAATCCATTTTTCGTTGCAAGTCACAATCTGATCGAGAAATGGTTCATTGTTGTTATGTAGAATAAGAGAGGATGACACTTCAATGAGGCAATAATAAATAGTTATGATTGTTGTTGATGACTGTCTGCAAACCTCCTCTAGCCTCCTCTATTGCCCTTTATCTCCTTACCCCATCTCTTGTTGGTCAAGTTCAAGGCATCTTTCGAAAAAAGGTCATAAATAAGGAAATTTGTAAAGGGATAAAGGTGGTCCCTGATTTCCCACGAACTGGATTTGATGAGCACCCAAAAATATCACTTCTCTTCTCACTAATTCTGAACCAACTAGCTATAAATAAAATAGTAAAGCAAATAAAGACCAAATGTCACCTTTGTCATTGGCAGAGCTGATTTTGGAGAATATGGCTTTTTCTGCAGACCATACTTTCTAATATAGAACACAGAGATAAACAGACTACCCTACCTCTACCCACAGTCATAGGCCATGCTGGAGAGCCTAAGGCCTTCCCCGTGGCACAGGCCTCCTGTTACATATAGTCCAGAACGAAGGATGGAAGGGTTCTGCATCAGGCAGCTCACTCTTGAGAGAAAAGGAGACTTTCACAGACTCACTAATCAACCATCACTCTGCATCCATGAGTGAGAATGCATGAGACCCAGAGTATTACACTAGTGCAGTTTCCTCCACCTAGAAAGAAACAGTTGGCTTAGTTTAGGGAATCGTGACTATTTAGCATCCAGCTCCAACCTGCTCTCTTGCTTATCTTCTTTTACTCCATCTCTCTCTCATCTTCTCATTTGGGTCTCAGTGCCTTATTAGCAGTAAGTGATAATTGCTTCCTTCCCTGAGGAGTTGGACCCTTCACAGGAATTCAAAACCTTTAAATGAGAGGAATAAAAAAATCCTGTGGTAGAATTCAGAGTGGTAATTTGTGCAGTCAAAAAATCCTTTGTAGGGCTCCTGAAAACAATGCTACTTTGGGTGGCAATCTACTGGCCAATGCTACCAAGATGTTTCACTTTACTAACCCAGGGCCTGCTATGCAGTATTTGTCTTCCCTAAAGCAACTTTTCTGGCATATACAAAGCTCTCACTTTTAGAGAGACATATGACTCTGCTGGGGCTAGCTCTTCTAGAAGTATACATTTTGCACAATGAAAATATAGTTGGACAACCTAAGAAGAAAAATGAGACATGTATGTGGTTTGACTAACCAAGTGCCTCAATTTACACTATTACCTGACTCCCACCCTGGTTTTTCCCTAATCCCCTTTGAACAGCTGTCATGCAGGAGGAAACCCTGCCTTAGACCAGAAGGTCTGGTTCTACCACTTTCTAGCTGCAGGAATGTAAACACCTGAGAACTTCTCTGAGTCTCCATTTCCACATTTAAAAATGGGGCTTTACAACCAAGATGCCCTTCAACAGGCGAATGGATAAACAAAGTCTCATTTACCAGTACAATAGGATATTACTCCATTATAAAAATAGAGGAGCTATCAAGCTTTGAAAAGACATGAAGGAACCTGAGATGCATATTGCTAAGTGAAAGAAGCCAGTCTGAAAAGGCTACATACAGGATGATTCCAACTAAATGGCATTCTGGAAAAGGCAAAACTATAGAGACAGTAAAAAAAAAAAAAAAAAATCAGTTGACAGAGAGAAGGGAGCGAGAAAGGGATGAATAAATAAAGCACAGGGGACTTTTAGGGCAGAAAACTACTCTGTATGATACTGTAATAGTAGGTACATGACATCATGCATTTGTCAAAACTTGCAGAACTATACAACACAAAGATTGAACCCTAATATAAACTATGGGCTTTAGTTAATGTATCAGTATTGGTTCATCAATTGTAACAAATGTACCAGGCTAATGCAAGAGGTTAATAATAAGGGACCCTCAGTTTGGGGGGTTGCGGTATATGGGAACTGTAGGAACTCTGTACTGTTTCCACAATTTTCCTGTCACCCTAACACTTCTCTAATAGACAAAGTTTATTAAATCTTTTTAATGGGGCTTTAACACCTACCTCCCAGTGTTGTCAAGGAACCAAAGAAGATGACGCTCATGAGCATGCCTGACACCTAGAAACTCCTCGCGTTCAACCTGTCAAACGCCCATGGTTCCAGCTGGCCCCCCTTCTCTCTCCTAATATCTTGAGGAAGTTTAGTTTCCTGGTAGTGATCACACCTAGAACTCTTCGCTTTCAGTGTCTGGACATCATGTTCAATTCCCCCGTAAATCTAGCTGGTTTTCAAAATGAGTATGTCCCAGTAGTTTTGTTCCCATTGTACCGCTCTTTCCTTGCCTTTTTTTAACCAGTAGATCTCACCTTAGGAATCCTTAACGGCAGCTGTGGTGTGGCGGTGAAGAGCATGGGTGTAGGAGCCAGACCACTGGCACGCCAATCCCAGGTCCACCATCTACTAAGGGACTGGGTGACCTGGGCAAGTTGTCAAAACATTGTTCTCTGCCTCAGTTTCCTCATCTCTGGATTGAGAGTGATAAAAATAATACCTCCTTCACATGTTTTTTTGAGATGATTAAATGAATGACTAGCACACAGTAAAAAATGTATGTTACTTTCCTAAGTGCCCATTGACATGTTGCAGATTTTTTCTTTATGTCCGTTGGTTTTCTGCACATGGCTTTGCCCACATTTACACCTGTGCCATGGGGAAAGAGGTGTGTTCTTCCACCCAATTCCTGTGTAAAGGGAGTTTTGTCAAGCAGGCAGTGAAGACATTCTCATTTTTTGCCTGAGTCCATCAGATTCCTGTTAGACTGGCCCAGTGATCATTCTGGGTCTTTACCACCCTCTAACCAGTTCTGCATTTTCAGCATCTCATTAGGTAATGCAACGCCCTCATGCATTTTAGACGTGTGCTCAGGTTTACTTTATCAGGAAGGAAATAAAGATCTTCCAGGTGGACAGTGGGGTTGCATCCCCCTTCCATGTCCACACCTTGTGTACAGCCCCTGAGCTCCCCTGAACTGAATGGTACTGCCATCTTCAAGGAGTGAGCTACACAAGAAAACACTGCTCATTAGACTGAATGTCATTCAGCACGTCTCGATCAGCAGCTTCTTCTGGGACTTAGACCCTCAGTGTTGGTGATGCAGAGAGCTAGATATTTAGCCACATCAAAGCAATTTGCTAATTGCAGATGTTTCCTTTTTGTTTAAGTTTCATGTGCAAGCTTAGGTGGTTGATTTAACTTGCTCATGATGCCTGTTTTTATCTCATTAGCTGTCATTAAAGGAAATGAACTCATGTTAAATATAGACAGAGGACATCAATTATGTGGAAAACTTTATAACCTGTGTGTGAGTGTGAGTATGAGAGAAATGACTTAAGTCACTACTACTTCTCAAACATTTTAAGTATGTGAGAACTCGTACATACGTACATGTTAACCTACAGAAGTGTCCCATATACTAATTATGTACCTGTGCATGTCAATTACAATATACACAGTCAACATATAATTACCAATGAAATGTACACATGCTTTATTTTCGCATAAATAATCATTTATAAGTTAAACTACGAGTTCTAGAGTTTCAGGTTATCCTCATGTTTTCCTCTCTTTTATATTTTCAATCATAGTTCTAGCAAAACATGCAGAGAGGTTTAATGCTGCTCCAAATATCTTCCTTCAACTATGTTTTTGGTCCAAGCTTTATCTCCATGGACTCTAACTAACCTTTAATTTACTAGTATAAATATGCAATTGAGTATTTCAGCCTGAGACAAAAGCAGCCTTATAATATTTGAAATAAAGAAAAGTCATCACAAAATTTCCAGAGGAAAAAATAACGCCACAATATCTCTACTCTTAAAAATTGCTCTGGTGAAGAATGCTGATGACTAAGGCTATGCATGTGTGGGGCGGTGGGTCCCTGGGAACTCCCCGTACTTTCTGCTCAGTTTTATTGTGAACCTAAAACTGTTCTAAAAGGTAAAGTCTAGTTAAAAAGAAAAAACCAACAAACAAAAAAAACCCAGAAAATTCTCTGTAATATTAGTATCCAAAATAATGATAATTACAATGTGTTCGGTGTAGTAAACCAGGATCTTGCCTGGGTTTAGCCTGTAAGAAGGGCGCGAGTACTTGTACTGTCCCTCCTGCCACGTCCCCAGCATATATAGATATCATGATAGCCAATAACGACCCCTTAGGGGATGTGTATCATGTCACTGGGCTTTGAATTCACAGAGCTTTACCAAGCACATTAGCCCCTGAGGATAATCAAGGAAGGAATTCTTTTTTTAAATGCTCCCCGCTATTTTACATGAGAACGTATAGCAATCTTCATATCATATTGATGTCTTGGGGTTTTTTTAAGTCTCTGAAAATAAATGAAGACAAATAGAGACAGGAGCACCACGAAACTACTCTCCCTCGTCTGTCTTCCACTCCTACCACCAAATGACTGAGTTGTGTCCACAAACTCTCAGGACCTGGGGTTGTAACCCCAGGCTTGTGTGTGGCTGCCAGTCTTGATCTTAGCAATGGGTTTGGCACTATCTGGGCGTTAGCAATGCCCTGGGCCAATTGGATAGACCATTATCTCCACTTTTATTCATGACCTTGCCACAAGGATTAAGGCAGCCTGCACATATAGAATAAGTAAGAGAAGCTAGCATAAGCATTCTAAGTGCTTATATCTTACCATATATTTTTGTCATGCAGCTAAACACAGTTCCCTTTCAGAAATCAATGTACCCTTGGAAGCCACTCTTTGATGAGGCTTGCTGCTGACCCCTAGATAGTATAAAGCAGTATAAAGTAAGTGATGCTCAGACCCATTTAATTATAGAACACCTTAAGGTAAAAAAAATTATAGTAACTACTAATATTTTTTTTTCAATCAGAAAACACTCTACTCCCCTGAGTACAAAGGTAATGGCTACAGTAGAAGGTTGACTTTTGGGCGGAGTTTTACTTTCCACCCAAGGGACAAGCATTAGTTCCCATGAACATCATCCAAGCAATCAGTTTGGTTCACATAATGTCAC